GGTCAATTCACACTTCTGATGTATAGCATTAGCTATTTGATATTTTTAAAAGACTGGAAACTAAAAAGTATAAATCAAAAGAAAGAGTCACATGAAATGACATTCATTTTCCTCATTTAATACACCAATATTATAATAAATATTACATAGTACATAATATATATTTTCTATTCCATTTTCATTATTATTTAGCTAATTTAGTTATTATCTATTATGATAACTTTCTGTAGGTACAACAGTGACTTTTTGATTTGTCTCTAATATATATAATATGAAATTCTTCATCAAATGGCCTACAGCATCAGAAATTAATTAGAAAAGCATCTGAGAATTGGCTAAGTATCTATAATCAGTTAATAAATAATTTATATGGCAAACACAAAACAAAATTTGGTTGTTATAAGCTAGAACATTGTGCTAGAACATTGAGTTACAAAATCTGATAGTAGCAGCTTGAAGATGTTTTGATAGGGCTTCAAGTAGTAACTGTATGATAAAATGGTTGGAAATTATTCTGAATGAATATTGAAATGTCATGTAATTAATTTAAACTATCAAAGAATCAGATAGGAAGATACATAAAATAGAGTTTCCTCCTTAAAAAGTAAATACTAATTATAGACTTGATAGCAGTGTATAACATTTTCTGATTATTTTTTCTTTGGGTAATAAATGACTACATATATTCTATATGAAAGTGATGAGCTTCAAAGTTCAAAAAATCAAACTAGTTACTTTTCATCAGTTGCTATATATAAAAAAGAAATGGCTAAAAATAAAGGTTTTAACTTAAAATGAAGTTAAATAAGTCAGTGTTCAATGTTGAACATATTTACAACTAGATTACTAATAAAAAATGTGCTTCTCCAAGTGCTTTCACATCATGTTATCATATAAACATATCTATAAATGAAAAAGTTAAGCTCTTAGTAATAAATTACTCTATAACACTAATACCGATATTATTTAGAACATTTATCAGCAAACTGTTTGGTCTTATCATACTCAAAATTTAAAAATATAGCCTTTTAAAGCAATGTAAATATATTCAAATTCATAATTTTAAGATTTGCGGGCCTTCATTGTTTTAAGAATTAGAGATGTGTAAATACAGGTTGCCTCATTCAATATAGTGAATTTTATAATGAGTTTTACTAATTTAAATGCAATTACATGCTAACAGCTCAAAGATTTAAATTTTCATTTTCAGGAATCTTCTATTTGGTTAGTGCCACCCTACCATCCAGACACTGTTTAGTAAACTTTTGAAACTTACTAAAAGAGGTTTTTAATAATGGTTAGTATCCTTGTGCCTTTCTTTTTTCTTTTTGTAGTCTGTTATATTAATGTGAAGAAACATTTTTTTGTTGTTGTTTTCACCCTAAGAAACTTACTTTATTTAGTAACACAATTTGTGTGTTTTCATCCCGAAGGAGAAGTGATTCAAAAAAAATAGATTTATTTCTCTCTCTCTCCCTCTGTATCACCCTCCTGTCTTTCCTACTTTCTTCCCCCATCCTCTTCTTTTATTTTTTCTTCTTCCCCTTCTCCTTCCTTCTCTCGTCCTTTTTCTTCTCCTCCTTCTTCTCCTCCACTTCCCTTTTCTTCTTTATTATAAGCCAGGAAACTCCCTCTAGATTCGCTTGGGTTTTTCAAACCCTTATTTTATATTTCAATAAAAAGACATTTAAAAATTTTCAGTCATCATATAAAGTAGGGGAGACAGTTAATCTCTGTCATATGATAGAACTTTATTTAAAATCAAACATAGTAATTTTTTAGCAACATATATCACGGGGAAACAACTACCACAATCATCTCTGCAATTTTAACTTTAGATTCTTACATAAAAAATAATAAAAGTGGTAATTTGATGTATAGTCAAGGCTATTGATTGGCTGATTAAAGGTTGCTTAATTAAAATTTCCCCTTTCTAATGGCTTTGTAAAATAGATAAAGCCTAAAAAGATAATGGTGGAGTTACAAATTTACAATTTTCAGTTTCTAAATTTGTAAATATAATTTACTTAAGGTAATTTTAAATTATAAAAAATGAAAGAGACTAACTTCGGGGCAGGTTTTTAACCTATCTTTTATATCACTCGGCATTATAAATTTTACATTACATAAAATTGTTTTAAAATAATTTTTATGTTTTTATTTGTAGTCTGAAGTTTTATATAGCATACTAAATACACTTTACTCCTTAACTTACTAGAAATAAATTGAATCATTTCATAGTTGAATGGGTATGTACATTTATACGATTTTTTTTCCCTAAGAAAATCAGTTGTTTAGACCACTCTCTTAGTATGGACAAAAATTAATTGATACATCAATTCTATTATTTTTTGAAACTAATATAATTTAAATATCTAAAAACTGAGTTTTCCAAGAAAAAGATGTTATAAATTAATAACATTTGGGAAATATATTAGTTTTAAATGAAGGCTTATTTCAAACAATTCAGTGTTATTCATATAACATTTTAAGTGTCAGTGGAATCAAGTTCTGGCCTGTTATATTATCTAATCAATTCTTCTGTTAAATGTTTCAACAGAGAGCCAAGACTAAGTTACCTCAAGACTATGTATTCCTCCCCCTTTTGGAGTCAGATTTTTCCATTTCTACAGTGTTGTCATCATCACCATCTTCATCATCATTATCATCATGTTCTTAATAAGTACATCTAATAGTAGGTATTAAGCAATAAGAAACACTGTGTCCATATACTGGCTGTCAGGTGTCATAAATACTTTAATAGAAATATAATTTATGAATTTTAGAACCGTATAATTTAACACACAATAAATAATGCATGACAGTAACTCTATTAGTTAGTGGGGAATTCACGTGTAGCATTTAATCATCATCCATTACAGGTATTAATATATTAATATTTTTACTAATTAAAGGTTATTAAACAAATATCAAAGTTTTACCTGATTAATTAACTTATATATAATGCATTTAACTAAGTGTCTGAAAAAAATTTTTTAAGCAATTGAATTAGAAAAGTTGTCAAATAAGAATTAAAGTATTAGGGTCACACATGTCTATTGCTAATTCAATCAACATTTAAAAAAAAAACACGTGTGTAAAATCAGTGCCATTGAGAGGGATACATAAAAGACCTAGAGGCCAGATAGGAAAACATTATAATAAGTGCAAAATACTAAAGGGACAAAACTAAACTAAGTGAAAACAATGAGCCTGGTCCATTGGAAAGTGATTCCTGAGTAAATTAAAACTTGAGTCATGTCCTGAGGTAAGGGATAAAATTAAATTGATATTAAGGATTAAAGAACTTAGCAGGATACCAGAGCAAGGAGAAACAAAAGAGAAAAACTTTGGAAGTCCAGGTAGAGATGGGTATGTGTAGAAAAAAAAGGAAAGGCGGGAAGGGAAGCTGAATAAGAAAAAAATAGCTTTGGATTTCACCTGTTACTTGGACAAGAAAATGCTTTAAAAGAAATCTAATTAAAAAAATAGATTATTCTGATAATTGTGAGCCTTTTGGAAAGAAACAAACTAGGCATATAGTTGGGAAGACTACTAAGAAAACTTTTCAGGAAACCATAAAAGAAAAATGAGGATATAGCCAGGAATGGACAAGAAGGTACTAGGGAAAGGTGAAAAGTCACAAAATTGGGTATCAGGATATCTTGCAGGAGTCTCAGGTGTGAGCTGCATGAAGTGACTTATCCTCTCTCTGAATCAGTTTTCTCTGTCATATAGATGCCTACTCTAATTCAAAGTATTAGTTTGTCACAAAAGATTATGTATGCAAAATACTTTTTTAAACATAAAACACATATGTGGCATTAAATATTTTTATCCTGTATTCTTTTGGAATTAGCCTAACTTGATAAACAGCAAAGCAGTAACACGTGAAAGAAAAAACAAGTCCTCACATGCATATTTTATTAGGTTTATTTCATTATGTTTTCATATCACTTTTTGGAGTTGTATAAATTTTTCACTCGTCCACATTTTTGGTTATTTTCCATATTTTTAGTTCTTACAGAGAAAGAGCTTAAGTCTCAGCCCATCTGAGTTTCAACTAAAATATGAAACTGGTTCCTGAATCTGATCTATATGTAACTAATACACATGTATCTCAATTAGCTGGAGAGGGAAACTAATAAAATTTTGTTTCACACCCTTGACTTTGTAAAAGGAATTTTGAGGAGCATATTAAAATAAGCCCCAGATACACTGAATTTCTAGCAAATCTATTGCCAATTAAATGAGAACTAAAAAAATACTTATAGGGTCATTTTTTCTTCATAAGATAAATTATTTACCAGCTCTCAGTTAAGCTGATGATGAGAAAAAAAGTTAATAGTTTTCATGGATTTTTAATGTGCTACAATGTGTTATTTCATGATTAAATCACGTTTGTTTTTAATCATCATCAATAGTTTTATAGGCATAATCACAATCACAAAAAGATATAATACCAGAAATTATTTTCCATATTTTATGTCTGAGTGCTATTTTATGTGTGAGTGCTATCTTTGTTCTGTTTTGAGATGCACAATGAAGAACCTATGTTTAAAGAAAATTTTCATATATCATGTTGTAATCTAAAAATTAATACATTTCTTCTATTTTTTTAACATCAAGAACAGATTTCTGGTTATTGATTTGTGTATATGTGTTTTAATTTAAATTTTAAAGTAGATATATATTTATGATGCTAATTAATTTTAAATCTGAAAAATCTTATTCAACATATGTAATATATGCATTACTAGTTGGCAGTTCATTTCACTATCAGGTGGAGATTTTCTTTAAACTAGCTCACTGATGAAAATTTTAAAGATCATGTTTTGTGTATTAAAAGTATAACAATTTGTTATAACCTTTAAAATGAAACGTTTCAAACCTTCAAAGCTGTTATGTTGACAAGTCTGTTTAGAATGATTTTACTATTGTTTCTGGACAGTTGCAGTTTATCCGTTTTGTAATATTTCATTTTTTGTGTTACTCTGTAGAGGTCCTTCTGTAGTGCCATGGTAGAAGAACTGAGGATGTCCCTGAAGTGCCAGCGTCGGTTAAAACACAAGCCACAGGCCCCAGTTATTGTGAAAACAGAAGAAGTCATCAACATGCACACATTTAACGACAGAAGGTTGCCAGGTAAAGAAACCATGGCATAAAGCTGGGAAGCCAAACACCCAAGCACAAACTGTCGTCTTTTTCCAAACAATTTAGCGAGAATGTTTCCTGTGGAAATATGCAACCTGTGCAAAATAAAATGAGTTACCTCATGCCGCTGTGTCTATGAACTAGAGACTGTGATCTAAGCAGTTGCAATGATCAGACTTGATTTACAAGCATCATGGATCAACCAAGTTACACGGGGTTATACTGTTTATCATGGGTTCCTCCCTTCTTCTGAGTGAATGTTATATGCGCATTTTGTGGCTGGTTTCAAATGCAGTCTAGTATGAAATTGCAGGTTCTTTTAGAAGTCTAACTGTTGCCAGGAGATGGAATGTCAACGCCCCAAGGGTAATCAGTAAAAAAAAAAAAAAATCAGTAAGCATAAAAATACTTGGAATCAGCAAAGTCTGTAGTGTTACAAGAAACAGTACAGTCTTCTGAACACCCAGATAATAGAGGTGGTGATGTTACTAGCCCCTATTCAGTACGATGATCATCTGAATAGACGATATGTATTTATAGGATGTGAAAAAATGTAATGCAAAACAAATCTGAGTTTCATAGCAAGTGGAATATAAAGCATATCTTCATCAGTGTTTTTCTTTCTGTTCTTTTTCTTTTTTTTTTTTTTTGGACAGTTTGTGTCATCGATTGAGATAGAAGTGTCAATTACCAAGGGAATATATATATTTTTTTAATTTACTGGAAGGAGATTTAACATGTAACTTACCAGGTCCTTACCTAACCCCACACCCTGATACCCTTTCCTCAACCTTACATCAAGAATAAAAAAGCAATAGTTGGTTCAGATATTCTGAATTAAAAAGGATGATGTTTTGCAATCTTTGTCTTACATTATAAAAGATGGTTGGGTATTGATTGTTATGTGGAAGACTGAAGCTTTCATTTTAACATTCAAATATGTTAATCCAAACCTTACTCTCTGCTATAAATGAACTTGATAGAGCCTGGGCAGATTTCAGTGAAAGAAAAAAGGCGACTGGTCATCTGTAGAAAAATGTGTGTGGAGAACTTTGAAGTGGACTGCATTTATCAATACAGTCACAATGTTAAATGAACAAAAATCTTGAGCAGTTTTTTTTCAAAAAATGTTCAGGTTTATTTGTGGAAATGCAAGATTTCTATGAAAATAGTTTTTGTATGGAAATTTTTGTAATACTTTTTATCAACAAAATAAGAACATGTGTTCCTGTCAGGGGTGTGATGTCAAGCATGAATGGTAGTGCGTGTGCACCACCAACGTTTGGTGAAAACTATTTTTATCAAGAAAAAGAGGAATCATAGAAGAGAAATATTTTCAAGTTAGATAATATAAAAGCTAGGTGCACTACCACCACTGCTTACCATGCCACACCCCTGGTTCCCACGAGGCTGACAACATACTGTAATGAACAATTGTGTGTAAAATGGTAAAAGACACAGACCTCTTGACAACATTGTGATAACAGTTGAGTGCACACAGTTTGCTGTTTGAATCCAATGCACAAAAATTTAAAAAAAATCATTAAAATTATGTCCATTTTACTTTCAGCTTTGACTTCTATTTTTCTTTTGTACGTATAAATGAATGTACAATATGCTCATTGAATTAAGGGATGTACGCTTCCTGAAGTCTTCTAAGTTATCAACAATGACCAAGCCCCAACTACCTGGAGAAAAGAAAAAAGAAAAGCTCAGGTGATGAGATACTTAGACACAGGAAAACTGGACTGGGAAGTATAATGTAATCTTCAGGCTTAGGGCAGTTTAAATGAGAAAAATAGCAGTTCCAGAGGCAACAGTCATCTTCTCTTCTATGAGTGGACATTGACTTATGTTCATAGGGTTGTGTGAGACTGGTGATACTAGTATTATATTTGAAGGTGAACTAATTTCCAATTTAAGACTTCCTTGTGCATTTATAATTCAATGTAATTCAGCAAAAGGAGAGGAAGAGATAGGCTCAATGTCAGGAATTAATAACGATGTGTGTGATTTAGAGGTGTTGATTTATTTTTAAATCACAAATTATAACATTTATTAAGCAAAAAAGATACACATTTTAACTAAAACAACTGACTAAATAAAGAAGTTCTGTGAAGCATTTAAACTCATGAAATTTGCATAATCAAATTACTAATATCTAATTAAGTTAAAAATTAAAAGTCCAAGTGTTTTCAAATTTCTAGTATGTGGAGTATTTTAAATTAAAATTTATATTTCAGTGATAATTTTGTCCCAAATTTTAATTTTAGAGAGTTATACAAGTCACTGGTAAAAATTATTTTTTAGTGGCAAATAACCCCAAATAACCTAGTTCATAAAAATGTTCAGTTTGGAGAATATTAAGCTTTTTATTAATCAAATTCTAATTAGATTTTTAAATATTTTTTAATTTTAATTTTGTATCATATTAAACAACCTTAATAATAAGCAGGATATGACAACTTAATTATCCTTTAAATAGTTAGAAATAATTATTTAGATTTTTGGTAAAATTTGACAATAAGTATTAAATTAACAAATTTTGAAAAGTTAAAAAACCTGCTGTATTTTAACTGTAAAGGAAGCTTAGAATATATAAATAGTATATAATATTTATTTTTTATCCATTTCCTAAGAGATTTCTACATATTGCCAAAACAAATATTTACCTACTCATCAGGTGCTTGTGAATAAATGAGGTACTATTCTTAATTTTCATAAAATCTAGATTACTTTCAAAATAATTTTAACCAATGAAAGAATGCCTCTTCTCTCTGAAAAGGCAGTATATTGGAGTAAGAATTATTCTCTAGTATAACACTCAAATTATAAGAAAGAAAGTGAGAGGACTTCTGTTCCAGTCAATATAACCTCATAATGCCAGGTAATCAATGGAGACACATATACCACAACTAGAAGACCCTAACCAGATGAAAACACCAAGGATTCATATTTATATATCACAGCTAAGAAACCCCAACAACTGAATACTGAGGAGATATAGTCACATATTTACAATTGAATTACCTTAACCACGATGGGAACACTAAGGGGATATATTATATTTTACAAATCTGTAAAATAGCTAAGGATATTTTATTAATTACAATGTTTTAAATATTTTGAAACTCAGTTGTATATTTTTTAAATATGTTTCTTGTTATAATTAAATGAGTTTATATACTAAATTCTAATGATTTAAAAATATTTTAGAAGTCTAGAAATGTTTTTATTCTACTCTCATAAAAAATTGTTAGTTTTGTTGGGTATAGAATCCTAAGTTTAAAAATAATTTTCTTAGATAAATTTGAAAATATTATTTTATTGCTTTCTTACTTCCAGTCTACTGTGGACAAATCTGAAGTCACTGAGATCTCTGGTTCTTTGTATGTGAGTTTTTGTTTGTTTACTCTCTTTTAGGTTTGCTTGATCTTCTCTTTGTCCCCAGCATCCTAAGATAGCTCAATGATAGCCATGGAACTTCTTTCATCCATTGTGCTGGGTGCTTGCTGAATTTTAAAATTTGGCTACTGTCGTCGTTCAATTTGGAAATAACTTTCTTTCTCTGCTTTTTTTTCTCACTCTTAGCATTGGAGCTCCTGAACTGTTGAGTCTAAACTGAGTCTAAATTTATTTTTTTGTTTTCCTATTTCTCATTTCTGTTATTTTTATCTTCCAAATATGATATTGAGCATTTTCATTTCTGCCAATTATTTTAGTTTCTATGAGCTTTTGTTTTATGGCTATATCTTCTCTTATATCTCTGAAGACATTAATATTAACATATGACATCTCCTTTTTCCTGAAAAGACCTCAGTTTTCTCTGTTACATTTTTATGTATGCTTGTTTAGATTTCTATTTTCTATATTAGAGGTTTTCTTCAGATGTTTGTTAATTATTAACAACCTGTTAATAATTAAGAAAAAAGGTCTAAAATCTGATTTAAAAGTTTTATGTGAATAGTAAGGTAGGGGCAAATATTCATCTAATTTGATGTTTACCATAGATTGTACTAGATGGGCTATTAGTTAATGAATCCTTCAAAATGGTCTTCTTCTCCAAAATGTTCTTCTGGGTCTTTTATCTTGAGTCTGTCAAGTTCCTCTGAGAAATATTTTTTAAATTTCCTGCTTAGAAATTAAGGCCTTGATTGCCAATGTTCTGGTAATCATGGGTTAAGAGATCTTGAGATCAATGCATTCTGCATTCAGAATGGCTAAGGTCACTTAATCACCCATTTTAAATTTAGTACTCAGTCTTTCAGCTGGACTTGGCATCCACCAGTCTGATGTCCTTCATTTTTTTCTTCTTTGAGAATAATTTCCTATCACTTTGCTGAGTTGGTGGAGAACAGGGTCCTAGGGGTGAAGAAGAGAAACAGGAATGTAGTGAACTACTGTTTTCAAACTATATTTAATACGTCCTCTTTGTTGTATTCTCTCTCCTATACTACTAGTTATTAATGTACAGTGTGAAGCTGGTTCCTGTGCTTTTGAGGATTTTGTGACATAAGTAATCTAGTTAGCACTCAGCTTTTCATACTACCCACATAGGATTCTATTTTTTCCTAATCAGCTTAGATAACTATCATTTGTTCATATGCTTTTATCCTTCCTAATTTTTTTTTAATTCTCACTTCTCTTATTCTCTTTATTCTCGGAGTTTTACACATTAAAAAAAAAAAAAAGACTTCTCTGTTGTAATTTTTCTGGTTGAGTAGGAAGCAAAATTTGGTGTATGCATTCCATTCTCCACTCTTACCCAGAACAAGACCCCTTTCTTCAAGGAAAATGTTATACTGAAAACTAGTATTGCAAATAAATAAAACCTAGAACTATTGTGGTTCAGGTGAAGTGGAGACAGAACAGACCTTGCTCTTGTAATTGTAAAGAATTTAATATTGCCAATTTTGTCTTCTTATCTAATAGTGTTTCTAACTCCATATGTAAAGGGGATATTTTCACAATAAAATTAATTTCACAAAATGGAGCCCAAGAATATTTCTGAAACGGGGAAGATTTATATTTTAGTACTTGTCAAAGAATGCTAAATTTGGAAACCAATGCAAGTTATACCCTAAGTGCTAAAGTCTAATTCAAATTATTACAATTTCTATTTTAGATAGCTCAAGAAATATGTCATAATGTAGATAAGGAACCCTTTCTTAGTGAATCTTGTTGAACTGTAAGATTTTAAGAATCATTTTTAATGTGTTACCTTATACTCTACCTTGCTTTCACATTTATTATGAGTATAATTAAAACAAAATTTAAACAAATATATCCCTGCCATTTTACAAAGGAGGATT